GGGTAAGGAGACACACTGAGTATTGACCACCAATATTAGAGGGCATACTGAGAAATGTTGTATATAGGCCTGATTCCCACACTGTTGTATGTAGGCTTGACCCACACACTCCATATGCTATATAGTGCTGACCTCTTCACTTTATTCGCTATGTTGTATGTTGCACAATGAAGGGGCATACTGATTGCTATACTGCTGTCTTCTTTTATTATACAGTTTTGGGGGCTAATTAATGTGTAGTACTGGACGTTAATTATTGTGCTGTGCTTGGGTTTGGGATGTATTATTGTCATGCTGGCTCATGCTGAGGGTTTTATTGTGTTCTGATGGATCATTATTGTGCCGTGCTGGGGGTTTGTTGCTGTGTACTGACAAGGGTCAGGATTGCTTTCTAATTACTAATAGATTTCAGCTGGTGTCTTGGCTTTGTGTGCCTTTTTTCCACCTCCCTTTATTCATGCGTCTAATACTTTTTCCGTGTGTCATTCCTCTTTTTTTACACATACCATATTTTCCGGCGTATAAGACGACTTTTTACCCCTTGAAAATCTTCTCAAAAGTCAGGGGTCGTCTTATACGCCGGTAACGGCATGCTGACACTTTTTAGGGGGGCGGCGCGATGCCGCCGCCGCCCCCCCCCCTTCCAACAGAAGGGACACTAAGTACAGGGGTGGGCAGGGGCTGCTGTCTCTTACCTGGCTCCGGTCCCACGACGATCCGGTCCAGGAAGCGCGGCTGCTCCTTCCTTCGGTTCGTCCACTGGATGTTCGCGCGGCTGCTCGGCTCCGCCTCCCCACCGGTGATTGGCCGCCAGAACTGTAGCTCAGGAAAGGCACACAGGCGGCCAATCACCGGCGAGGAGGCGGAGCTGAGCGGCCCCGCGAAAATCGAGTGGAGATGCAGGTAAGTGTGCCGTGCTTAGGTGCTGCTGCAACCACATATGCTGGCTGCAGCAGCACCGTACTGGAACAGGGGTCAGCAAGTGTCAGTGGGAGGAATACTGCCCCATCGTTGGTGTCACTGATACCAATGATGGGGCATTATTCCTCCCAATGACACCAACGATGGGGCACTTTTCCTCCCCCCCACTGACACCAACGATGGGGCACTATTCCTCCCCCCCCACTGACACCAATGATGGGGCACTATTCCTCCAATGCGATGGCACTATGCCCCCCCCCCCCACTGACACCAATGATGGGGCACTATTCCTCCCCCCCCCACTGACACCAATGATGGGGCACTATTCCACCCCCCCCACTGACACCAATGATAGGATACTATTCCTCCCCACTGACACCAAAGATGAGGCACTATTCAAGTGACACCAATGATGGGGTGCTATTCCCCCCAATGATACTAATGATGGGGCACTATTCCTGCCACTGACACCAATGATGGGACACTATTCCTCCCACTGATACCAATGATGGGGGCACTATTCCTCCCACTGACACCAATGATGGGGACACTATTCCCACTGACACCAATGATGGGGCACTATTCCTGCCATGATACTAATGATGGGGCACTATTCCTGCCACTGACACCAATGATGGGCACTATTCCTCCCACTGATACAATGATGGGGGCACTATTCCTCCCACTGATACCAATGATGGGGGCACTATTCCTCCCACTGACACCAATGATGGGACACTATTCCTCCCACTGACACCAATGATGGGGCACTATTCCTGCCACTGATACTAATGATGGGGCACTATTCCTGCCACTGATACCAATGATGGGGCACTATTCCTCCCACTGACACCAATGATGGGGCACTATTCCTCCCACTGACACCAATGATGGGGCACTATTCCTCCCACTAATATCAATAATGGGGCACTATTCCTCCCACTGACACCAATGATGGGGCACGATTCTTCCCACTGGTGTGTACTGGAAGAGGGGTAGTCTTATACGGCGAGTATAGCCCAAACACTACATTTTAAACAGGAAAAGTAGGGGGTCGTCTTATACGCCCAGTCGTCTTATACGTCGGAAAATACGGTAACTTATTTTTTGAACTTTTTGTTTTGGTTTCTTTGTATGTATGGATTGCATGGATTGTTACCAACAAGTGGTGAAAATTTCATGTTAATAGCACCTTTTAGAAATATATTTACTGAGAAAAATGGTGACGTGATCAATACTTATTTTACCCACTGTATATGCTCCTTTAGCAAATCAACTGTGAATAAAAGAATTCCACTTTTGTATTTTTCATTGAAGCGATTTTCTGGAAAGGTGTTGGCTTAAGGCAGTGTTTCTCAACCTTTTTCCAGTCAGGGTGCTCTTTAAAGGTATTTTCAGTCTCCACGTATCCCAGCCTAAGGCTTGGTTCACATTACTGTATGTCAGGGAACGCGTGCAAATTGTCCACGTTTCTGACATGCAGACAAATGTACTGCTCTTTATAGCAGACTAGCAGGAGTGTCATTCTCAATGGTACCTCCATGCATTAATAATTACTGTGCATTTTCAGTGTAGCACATTTTTAGGAAAAGGGTTGGGACTTTTCTGTATGTTTCTGCAGGTAGAGAAGCCTATTAAAATGAATGTGCTGCCCAGCATGCAGCCGCACAGATGTGAACCCAGCCCTCAGCACATGTGCTGTTGGAGGATGGTAAAACCATGTGGTTAAGCTGCGTTTTCAACACCCCCAACTGCTGCTCCTTTAGCTGAAAAGACAATAGCCAGGGATGTACACATGTTGTGGCCATGGCTGGAAGTATACCCCCTTGCACATGGTTGTGGTACAGTGATGCTGCATTTGAGGCATTTAAACAGGAGGTAACATATTGCATTTTAACTGCCTGTCATATGCCTCTGATAAGTGATCTGTTCATGGATTGCTTTTTAGAGGAGCGTCAGTCATTGCTGCTTTTATGAACGAGCCCTAAAAACACATACATACATACATACATACATACATACATACATACATACATACATGTATACCCACACTCGCACAGACATATACAGTTGTGTTCAAAATAATAGCAGTGTGTTGAAAAAAGTGAATAAAGCTCAAAATCTTTCTAATAGCTTTTATTTCCATAAACACAAATGCATTGGGAACACTACACATTCTATTCCAAATCAAAACATGAAGAAAAATATATCAAAATTTGTGTTGTTCCTCTAAAAAAATTTTAAGAAAAGTGAATATTAGACTGTTCAAAAAATAGCAGTGTTTGTATTCTTTACAGACTCAAACATTCACTATATAAACTGAAAAATTGTTTGAAGATTTTGCTTTCTTTTGAATCACTTAATTAATAATTAGTTGTATAAGCACTGTTTCTGAGAGAACTGCTGTACATCTGTGTTGCATGGAGTCAACCAACTTCTGGCACCTGTGAACAGGTATTCCAGCCCAGGATGATTGGACTACATTCCACAGTTCTTCTCTATTTCTTGGTTTTGCCTCAGAAACTGCATTTTTGATGTCACCCCACAAGTTTTCTATTGGATTAAGATCCGGGGATTGGGCTGGCCACTCCATAACATCAATCTTGTTGGTCTGGAACCAAGATGTTGCACGTTTACTGGTGTGTTTGGGGTCGTTGTCTTGTTGGAACACTCATTTCAAGGGCATTTCCTCTTCAGCATAAGCAGCATGACCTCTTCAAGTATTCTGATGTATTCAAACTGATCCATGATCCCTGGTATGCGATAAATAGGCCCAACACCGTAGTATGAGAAACATCCCCATATCATGATGCTTGCGCAACCATGCTTCACTGTCATCACAGTGTACTGTGGCTTGAATTCAGTGTTTGGGGGTCGTCTAACAAATTGTCTCCGGCCACTAGACCCAAAAAGAACAATCTTACTTTCATCAGTCCACAAATGTTGCGCCATTTCTCTTTAGGCCAGTCAATGTGCTCTTTGGCAAATTGTAACCTCTTCGCATGTCTTTTTTTCAACAGTGGGACTTTGCGGGGGCTTCTTGCAGATAGCTTGGCTTCACATAGGCGTCTTCTAATTGTAACAGTACTCACAGGTAACTTTAGACCTTCTTTGATCTTCCTGGAGCTGATTGTTGGCTGAGTCCTTGCCATTTTGGCTATTCTTCTATCCATTCAAATGGTAGTTTTTCGCTTTCTTCCACGTCTTTCAGGTTTTGGTTGCCATTTTAAAGCATTTGCGATCATTTTAGCTGAGCAGCCTATCATTTTCTGCACTTCTTTATGTTTTCCCCTCTCCAATCCAACTTTTTAATCAAGGTATGCTGTTCTTATGAACAATGTCTGGAACGACCCATTTTCCTCAGAATTTCAGAGAGAAATGCACTGTAACCAGCATGTACAACATTTGCTGCCTTCCTTCCTTAAATAAGGGCAATAATTGCCACCTGCTTTTCAAAGAATGAATGACCTCATTAATAGAACTCCACACTGCTATTATATTGAACATGCCCCTTTCAATTAGTGATTCAATGACACAGAATCAGCAGCATGCATGTCATGACTGTTAGGTCTGTTGGATTTCTATTACTCTACTACACCTGCTAGTAAATTATTTGCCATGTAGAAATATCATTTCTACAAAAAAACAGTGATTGATCAGGTTAGTGATGTCTGACTGCTATTATTTTGAACACAACTGTACATATACACACCTAATTACACACACACACACCACACACACACACACACACACACACACACACACACTACAGTAAGGCATCTGCGCTTGCCCCAGATACTGCACTTCTGGGTACTGCTCTGTAGGAGGAAGCGGAGAGCGCAGATCTCAGGAAGCCACCTCCCCTTCCACTGCCTTCACTTTACTGTCGTAACCGAACTCCTGTTGTGCCAATGTATAGTACTTCAGAGGAGGTGCAGGAGCTTGTTTTGGATCTGACAGCCTTTCTCAAACAGGATGCCACGGCACCCTTGATGAACCAGACATGGTGCACATCTGTATGTATCAATATCACAATGTCTCATTCTAAGTTGCATATTTATCCTTTTGTAATCTTTTAGAACAAGAAGAGAACTGGAAAACTGTCAAAGGAAAATTCATGGCAATTAACGTGGCTGTCATGAGCTGTGCCTGTCCTCGCAGCCCAAAAGGTCTGTCACCAGCAGCTCACTTGGCAGATGGAACTGCAGATCTCATTTTAGTCCGTAAATGCTCAAGGTTAAATTTCCTACGGCACCTTATCAGACACACAAAAAGCAATAGTGATCAGGTATTGATTTTTCAAATAAATTCAACATTTCAAATGTGTTTTGGTACAGGATTATTAATATTATTATTATACAGGATTTATATAGCGCCAACAGTTTGTGCAGCGCTTTGCAATATAAGGGAGAAAGTACAATTACAATACATTTCAGTACAGAAGGAATAGGAGGGCCCTGCTCGTGAGCTTACAATCTAAAGGATCAAAGGCATAACTATAATGAAAAAAAAAAAGCAAACAGTATGACTGCTTTAAGGCTCAACTGAAAGGAGTCTTTGTACTGCCTTTTTAGTAATTAATGCAAGTACAGTAGCAATATTTGTCAAATAGATTTGTAATCGGGGAATCTAAATATGGTTTTGATACCTTTTTAAAATTGCTTTGAACTCAACTGGGATTCTCTTAACACCTGATATTGTATAGAGCAGCAGGAGCCTTTACATTTTTTTAACCATATAGCTCATCATTTTTCTTTTGAGTAAAACAAAAAAAACTGATACATCTGCATTAATTATAGATCTGATTTTCCTTAGTGGAGTTTCTGCGCATTTGTTTGACTGTACCTTTGTGTTCTTTAAAAGTTAAAACACAGAGTAAACATGTTGTTTCCCTTTTTTCTTTTCTGTCTTAGTTTGACTTTCCATTTGTTGATGTCTACCGGATAAAGACTTTTCAGTTTGCGCCAAAACATTCTGAAGAAAATGATTCTGAGAGCACTGATTTGGGAAACATTGGAAAAAAGAACTTTGCTCAGATCTGCACAGATCATCCATCTTGTGGCTGCAGTCAGGTGAACAGTGTCTGGAATTGTGATGGGGAAACCCTTGAGCAGACTGCCATTGAAATGAGGTACAGGACAAATGTTTAAAATGATACTTTACTACAGTCCAGCTGCTTTTACAACATACCTCAATTTATGCCATGGGTCTTGTAGTTGTGATCACAAGCCCACATTTTTATTAAAGTAATTTGTAAAGTGTGTGATATCCAAAGACGTATCTGTCTGAAACACAGTTGATGCTGACCTGTGCTTGATCAGCTGACTAAACTATCTCAAAAACAAGACGTTAATGCTTATAAACTAATAACTGTCATCTTGCAAATACTCCCTTTTATAATAAAAAAGGTTAACCCTTGATTCAACTCTCCACCTCCCTAGTTATCTACTGTTAATGCCACACATCTTTATCAATGTACACTGTGACTCTAGGTCTTTGGCTAGGTTGTCTTTTATAAATGTACTTTTGATCACATTTATACATGAATCTCTCTTTATGCTATGTTTTTGCGACGTGATTAGAATGACTTGCATTGCGCAGATAGCTAAAGAATTTGAGTTTCTACATTGTAAAGCTGGGATGTTGAAGGAGCAAGGTTTAATGTTTTATTGTGTATTTTTAGATTACACTTACAAATACCTTCTTTTTTTTTTTTTTTTTTAATCTTTTTTTCCCTTTTGGTTTCCAGGGTCCACTGTCAACTTATCAGATTATTTGCACGAGGCATTGAGGATTCCCATAAAGACGATGAAGAAAACCTAAGCAGGGTTTAATAGTGGATTTTGTTTTGTTCAGTTTTTTGTGGTGTTCCTTTGTTTATTTATTTAACAGTTTAGATGTAATCCAGTTTGAAGAAATTATTGTGAAATACGAAGATAAATATCTACTAATATTTTAAGTTTGATGTTGCTGTAATTTATAGTGATTTAATGAACTGCAGAATTATGACTGTTGAAGACATTTCTGTAAACTGAAAGATTGTTCTTACTTGGCTTTGCAGTTTTTTTGTTTTTTTTCTGAAATGTTACTACTACTCTTGGTGTCCTATAGTTACAAGGCAAACTCCATGTGTTTCTGTAGCCACCTAGAACATATTTTTAGCCAGTGCTCACAACATCTAATAAATTGTATCCTTCTTTTAGAAGTAGTCTACAGTAATCTAGAATAATAAGTTTATATATAGGCTGAGGTGCATATTGTTTTAAATTAAAAATCATTAACCACATTTGCAGTGGTATTTCAAAATAACTGTGATTTCAGTCCCTTACGCCTAGATTAAGCAGATGAGGCTATATTTCTTAGGGTTCACTCCTGGGCCTGAAAATGACAATAGACCAAACAACGGTTGCAAATGGTTATTTCTGTCTTGATGATGAGAATGGTTCTTTGGCTCTATAAATATCTTTTTAAAGTCTCTCTGTTTTGTTAACTCTTATTTTGTTACTTGAGAATTATGGCATTTGTTGGAGCTAGGAAAAGATTGGCACAATAATTGTGTGTAAATTTAGCAAATTATTGAAAAAAAAAAAATCCTGCTCTCGTTCTAGATGAAAAATTTTTTTTGAGCAACTTCTAATATTTAACAAAATGTTTTGCCTAAAGCGCCATTGTGAGTCATTTGTGACTCACTGATCTCACCAGCAAGCTGTGTGCAGTTTTCCCAGCAGAGTTGATATTGCTGACAATTTATATGTTTGTACTGCCACATAATGTTATATTTTAATGAGATTTTTCTGGCTTAGTCTAAGCTTGGTATTATAGTATGTGCTCACCCTAATTGTGGTGACTTGTAACTGATTTAGAACATTTCCTTTGGTAACGTGATAGTTTTGTATAACTTTCTGTTAACCATAAAAGAGATTTAAACATTTTGCAAATAGAGGAAGTGGTTGTCTATATCAGTTTTGTGTATACCATGATCCCAAATGTATACAACTTGTATGAAAAGAATGACCCTGTTCCACTAATTGAAACATTTTCATGAAATGTTTCTTCTTTCCTTTTAAAATGTGCACTAATGAATGTAAACCTATTTGCCAACACTCATTATTTAGAGTGAGCCCAAAAGCCATTGCATTGCTGCATGCTGAAGTTTTGGTGCGTTGGCCAATCCTCTGAAAGATTCTTATCTGTTTCAAACCTTAGACTGGCTTTTGCTAGTGGTATTGCAGTACATTGATCCCATTCAAAACAAAATTATTTTTGTGTTTATTTTGTTTAATCTTTATCTTTGCAAGGACTTTATTAGAAAGCAAACTTCTTAAAATATCTTCTACAGTAGGGAAAAAGGAATTCTATAAAGTAGAATACTTGCCCCCATATTTGAAAGTGCCCAGAATTACTTAAAAGTTGGAATGTACCAGAAAATATAAATAATATATATATTTTTCAAAAAGCTGTCATCCGTGCACAGAAATCTTTGTTGATCCTGGAGATCAACTTTGGAAGTTCTTTACACTATGTTGACCATAGTTTATATTGTATGAGAAGTAATTTAGTCATGGAAAGCAGATTTGTATAAGGTACTATTTTGGAAAGTCAGACTAACTTGTAGTAAATTATACTTTCAAGTTATTTGCACAGTAATAGGTTTTGTAGCGTAAAATGTATTGCTGAAATATCCTATAAATTACACAGTATTCTAACATAACTTTACCCACAAAGCCATTTAATTGTACTGTAAATGACTGGATTTAAATGTGTTTACACTTTATATTATAGATCACCAGAAAAAGTTATTGTCAGGCTGTATTGATAGTTTACCATCTTAACAGATAATCGTTCTGCAAAATAAGGTTCTTTGGTTACATAGTTATGTAATGTTTTTTCTTCTAGTTTTACCATGCAACTCAGCAATGCAAAACGTGAACATTCCTGCTATTTTTAAATCATGAAAATAAATATTTTAGTATCCAAAAACTGTGTTGGTCTTTTAATCAACAGCATGTTATAAAAAAATAATTTATTTTGCTTAAATATATTTTTCATAGATTGGTCACTTACTGATATATACACAAACAGGAGCTCCACAATGCAACTTGGGATATCCAGAATCATGTTTTGAGTCTTTTTAGTATACATGTTAATGTGAAAAATAAAGATTTGCTCAGTAGAGATAATCCAAAGCAAGTACAGTTGTGTCCAAAATTATTCAACCCCCAATGCTGTAAATTTTTAGGGACTATAGTGTACATTTGGAATTGTATTCAGAATCAAATCCTACAAGGAGTTGTAACTACCCAAATGCAACTAAAATGACATCAATTGTTTATGTAATCAGTAGTAAATGGTTCTTATGTTGGTTTCTTCATTGCCACAATATTCAACCCCTTAAAGACTACCACTCTGAAAACAGAGGTTCATACAGTGCTTTCCATCAGGTATTGAAAAACTGTTGTCACCGAGCAGCAATCAAAAAGCACCAATTAGGCAGCTTTAAAATGACTGTGATACTCAGCTCCTTCTAGACATTTACTGGTGTGGTTACAAACATGTGAATGGTCTGTGATTTCACTTCACAGGAAGGGAATGGCTATAAGAAGATTGCCTTTTACCAATTAGGAAGCATCATTCGCAAATTCAAGGCAAAGGGCACTGTTTGAAACGCTACCTGTCGTGCAGAAAGAAGATGCTGACTTCGACTGCTGTGCGCTACCTGAAGCGTAGAGTGGAGAGAAGTCCCCGTGTGACTGCTGAGGAACTGAGAAAAGATTTGTCAGATGTGGGTACAGAAGTTTCAGCCCAGACAATAAGACGCAGGAAGGCCTCCGTGCCAGAACTCCCCATTCCCCTTGCTTTCCAAAGAATAAGAAGAGTCGACTGCAGTATGCCAAAAGCCATGTGGACAAACCACAAAAGTTGTGGGATAGTGTTCTGTGGACTGATGAAACAGGAAAATTAGAATGGTTTGGGCCCATGGATCTTTTGGAGGAGGAACAAGGCCTTGATGAAAAGAACACCTTGCCTACTGTGAAATGGTGGAGGGTCACCCCCTTTGGGGCTGTTTTGCTTCTGCAGGTACAGGGAATCTTCAGCGTGTGCACAGTACCAGGAGATATGGATGGAAAAGTCCGTCACACACACCTGATGGGAGACGTTGGGACCTTTCAACAGGACAATGATCCCAAGCATACCTCCAAGTCCACTAGAGCATGGTTGCAGAGGAAAGCTGGAACATTTTGGAGTGGCATCGCAGTCACCAGACTTATCCGATTGAGAACCTCTGTGGGACTTAAAGAAAGCAGTTGCAGTGCGCAAGCCTAAGAAATGTGACTACTGGAGGCCTTTGCCCATGAAAATGGGCGAAATACCCGTAGATCGCTGCACAAAGCTAATGCTTCACGTTTAAAAGCTGTTAAAACTGTAAAAGCAATGCTGTACAAATAAGATTGAATGTCACTTGGGGGTTGAATAAAACTGATAATGCTGTGAGCACAGAAAAAAGATTTTGTGGTTATTTCATTATAACGATTATGTTATATTTGGCTACAAGTGAAATGTAAATGTGACTGAATGATCAAAAGCAATGTCAAACTGGCCAAAACACTCAATTTCAGTGGGGGTTGAATAATTTTGGACACAAACTGTAATTCAAGTTCACCTTACGTCAATTTGTAACAGGCCCAAAACTTTTCAAAGCTTTGCATAGAAAGTGTTATTGCTGTCTGTGTCACTGGGGAGACCATCCTTTTTTATTAGTTCTGGTGACCATTGGTCTCCTGTACAGGAACAGATGAACAATTCAAAGATTGACCTCACAGGAAAAGATGGTGAGAAATCTTCAATGGAGAAAACTTTGAATGATAAGAAGAAATATCCCCCTTCCTTTAAAGAAAATCATGACATCAATCTTACCAATGGGACACAAACATCACAAAACAACAGTGTAGCACTAAGTTAAATTAAAATGTATTGCAAATCAAATATATCAAAATCTTATGTGTCACCACAGCTTAATCAACAGAATCCAAATGTGAAGCCAATATTGTAATTCAGTGGTCTTTTCGATTATGAAGGCAATCAGATGTGAATACCAACAAGACCAAAACTTCTTAATGATGAACCAACCTTGGTGTACAACAAAGGGAGACCTACTAGAATCATTTCTATCAAGAGTGGTCAACCAGCACTTGTTTATCAATCCAAGATATCCAGCTTACCTCAAAACCACATGTCAAATGATTGTAATGCTGGTTATATCAGATCATTGTGCATATATACTCAGTTGGACATAGTATCATGAAAAAGAAAAACATGCTCTTCATGGTGTAATCCAGTTTAAAAGACCAATTTAATGTGGAAAATGCACTTACAATGAAAAGACAACAATCAGGCACTTCTTCTCATATAAACAACTCTTATTCCAGAATCCAAGATGGCTACAGCAGGATCACGTAAGTGTAGTGGCATGTGTTCCCTCTCTGCTCCAATGGAACACAAACTGCAAGAAAAACTGCTTACATTTTTTGTTTTTTTTTACATTTTATTTGCATTATTAACCAGTTGCCCTCTGCCCTATAGCAGAAATACTGCTACAGGGCTGCGCAAAGTCACGTGTATATATACGTGATTTGCATTTTTGGGTAGGGGGCATGCACACAGCCCTACCACACACCACCATTGGCGGCTACAGATGTCAATCACCCCGGTCCTGGCCGGAGATTCTCCGCCGGAACCCGACGATCACCGAGAAACAGTGATGGTCCTGGCAGCAATAACATGCTGCTGTGTATTTCCCAAGTAAAACAGCACACAGTTAACCCCTTTGATTGCC